AGTCGGAATTCTTATCAAACATAAATATCATAAATATCTCTTGCTCATTGCTAATGTTGAGGGAAAATATCACCATATTGAGGGAACCCACCATATTTGATAACATGAGTTCTTCCATAAAGCACAAGTTTCTATTTGTTGGTTATGATTTGTTCCAATGATTAAATTCAACGACATAGTTGTTGATTGCATACACCTCGCCTTCGTTGAGTACACCTCGAAATGCTCCCATATTTTTAGAATGTATTATGCCTTTAATGAATGCACCCGGCAATATAAATTTATAAATTTTAATTAAAATATTTTTTAAAATTATATAAATTTGATATTACAAATAAAAATATTTACCTGTTTATCATGAAACAATATATGGAATGCGTTTCAGCTCTCCTGTTCGTGATGCGTTTCAATTATTCGGGCTGCTCTCAAGCGCAAAAAAAGTTTGTTTGTCCTACTCACGGAATCGAGTGTACACTACAAGAAATATGAGTTTTACCAACGGAATAATTCATTGGTAAACAAATTTCCCAACAGAATGCCAACGGATTACCAACGGATTTCTGTGTTGCTATATGGCTTGTTGGTAATTATTGCCAACGGAATATGCAATCCGTTGGTAAATTTCTCAACGGATTACCAACGAATTTGCAACAGAATCACTCCATGAGATTGTCAAGGAATTGCCAACAGAAAACGTAGTTGCGAAATCATTCCGTTGGTAAATTACTAACAGAAAGCCAACATATTAGTTACGGATATACCAACGGATTACCAACAGATTTTTCCCAACAGATTACCAACAAAATTTTCCCAACGGATTGCCAACGAAATTCTCCCAACGGATTACCAACGGAAAATTTTCCCAACGGATTACCAACGGAATTTTTTCCCAACAGATTACCAACGAAATTTTTTTCCCAACGGATTACCAACGGAATTTCTTCCCAACAGATTACAAACGGATATTTTCCCAACAGATTGCCAACGAATTTTTTCCAACAGAATACCAACGGTTTTTTAGCAACAAAAAATTATTGATCCAACTTAAAGGCTGCAACCACCTGACCCACCTTGAACCACATGGCTCACAATGAGAGCCCATGACCATCCACCAATATAATCCTTACAAACTCTCTCAATTCTCACAACACTAGGGTTTGAACTCAAGACCTCTTGCATGTCAAAGAGGTAACACCACCACTAGGCTATAAGAATGTATGCGACATGATTCTACAATTCTTTTATATGAATGTATGAGACATGATTCAACTCGTATGTAATAGTTGATAAATATAAGAATTGTAGAATATAAATCACATTTTGTTTTTAAATTCATAAAAATTTCTATATTATTTATTCTCCAACCGTTCAATTATATTTAGTGTTTTTATTAATATGTCTAATTATAAAAATAGTGAATATATATATAAGTATCTATAAATTTATGACATTTTGAAATGAACTAGTACGAATCTCGTGCGACGCACGGGTAAGAAATATGTATTAAAATTTATAAATTAAAAAGACTCATTAAATAATATTTATAAATTTAAAATATAGAATTAGTATGTAATACAATTTACGTATATTAATTTATTACAAATATTATATGAAATTTAAATTGTGAAAAATTATATAAAATATGTCTATTTAAATTAGTACACAACTCGTACGGTGCACTAATTGATAATAAATTATATTATATTTTTTCTAAACAAGTTTCATTTTAAATTTCTTTAGTTTTATAAATTCTATTTAACTACAATGTGATTCCAGAAAAGAATTTTTTTTGGTAAAATTTTATCATATATTTAAATATATATATATATATATGTATATATATATATATATAATAAGTATAATTATAAAACTTATATTGTTTAGTTAATTAAAATAAATTTAATTTTGTATAAACTATCCAAATCAAAAAATTTAAGTAGTTGAGTAGTTTATTAAATTAGAAATAATAAACTATTTCATTTACATTCAAGTTAATATTGATCCGTAAGTTATGAATAATTACTTATTTAGCTTTTAAATTTGAAACTTAAATTTGGACTACACAATAAATTTTCTTTTGTCTGTGTGTGTATATATATATATATATACACACACACACACACACACTTACACACAAGCGCAACTCGTACGGTGCACTAATTGATAATAAGTTATGTTATATTCCTTTCAAAATAAGTGTCATTATGATTTTTTTTTCTGAAATTAAAAGAAATATTTTGGTAAAATTTTATCATATATTTAAATATCTATATAAATAATAAGTACAATTATAAAACTTATATTGTTTAGTTAATTAAAAGAAATTTATTTTTGTATAAAGTATCCAAATCAAAATTTAAGCAGTTGTATAATTTAATAAATTATAAATTTCCATTTACGTTGAACTATAAATGTAGTAGTGAATGATTTTATTTTTATTTATACTAATAAATTAAGAAGAAAAATATAAATTTTGATGAATAGTAGAATTTTTAGGAAAAATCATACCCTATTGTAGATTTGATAGTTAAAAGTAAAATCACCTTGTTAGATGAAATGAAAATAAATTGCAGGTTATGTTACATATGTACATTAAAGTATTATAAGTTAGTATAAATCCTTTGATATTTACCAACAGAATAAATTCTTTTCTATTTACCAATGAAATGATCGGTTGTTAAGACAACACAATATTTATTTTGAATTTGTTTAAATATTTTTAAACTAATTACATAACTAAATAATTTTAAGGTATATTAAATATTTCTCATTATATATATACATACATATATATAGAATTTTATTTTTCTAAGTGTTATAATAATAATAATAATGTCATTATACGACAATGAATTTTGAAAATAATGGTTGAGTATTATTTTTAACAAATATAAGTAAAATTATTATTCTGTTTATGTCAAAAAATAAATATAGAAATCATTTGCTAATACAATATTAAAAGTGTTTGTTGCTATTTTTCAACGAAAAAATTCTGTTGCTATTTACCAAACAAATAATCTGTTGCTAACACAATTTTAGAAGAGTTTGTTGCTATTCCGTTGCTATTTGCCAACGGAAAAAATCCGTTACTATTTACCAACGGAATAATCCGTTGCTAATACAATTTTAGAAGAGTTTGTTGCTATTCCGTTGCTATTTGCCAACGGAAAAATTCTATTTTTATTTACCAACAGAATAATTTGTTGTTAATACAATTTTGGAAGAGTTTGTTGCTATTTCGTTGCTATTTGCCAACGGAAAAATTCTGTTGCTATTTACCAACGGAATAATCCGTTGCTAATACAATTTTTAAAGAGATTGTTGCCATTCCGTTGGTATTTGCCAATGAAAAAATTCCGTTGCTATTTGCCAACAAAATTATCCTTTGTTAATACAATTTTTATAGAGCTTGTTGCTATTCCGTTGGTATTTACCAACGGAAAAATTTGTTGCTATTTACTAACGGAATAATCTGTTGGTAATACAATATTGAAAATGTTCGTTGCTATTTACGAATAAAAAATTCTATTGTTATTTTCCAACAGAAAAATCCGTTGCTAATACAATTTTGAAAGAGTTTGTTACTATTCTATTACTATTTGCCAACGGAAATAATCCGTTGCTATTTACCAACGAAAAAATATCCGTTACTAATATAATATCGATGATGTCCGTTGCTATTCCGTTGTTGTTTGCCAACTAAAAAAATCCGTTGCTATTTACCAACGGATTAATATGTTGCTAATACAATTTTGAAAGACTTTGTTGCTATTCTATTGGTATTTTGTTTGTGTTTACTAACGGAATACTTCCGTCACTATTTTCCAACGGAATACAAAGATGTAATTTTCCGTTGCTATATCTTGTTAGTATTCTGTTGGTAATATGTTTAGAAAAATTGTATATATAATGCACTGCTAATTCGTCGGCAATCCGTTGGCAATCCCTAACGGAAAAAATTTTGTTGGTAATTTCCGTTGGCATTTTGACAATTTCTTGTAGTGGTATCCCAGACTGACGACATTATATTATCGATGTGTTCTGAAATTTATGTGTTTTATTCCTCTGTACTCTGTGAATGGCGTGAACAAATAATGGTGGTAGTGAATATGATTTTATACTAATTTGTTTGTAGCATGTTGGTATGCACCTGCGAAAAGAAATGGAAGATATTGTTAAGATTTAAAGATTTTTTTGTGTTAACTGAAAAAAAAAGTGATTGATGATAATTATTTAAATCGGAAGATATTGGTAAGATTTTAACCAAAAGTGATTGATGATAATTATGGATCCAATTCTGATAGATATTCAAGCACGTGAGATGGTATATTCCATTAATTCAAACCGTGAGTTATCTCTTTTAAGTGCGTTATCCACACATTCCTATAATCTCTCTACACCATAAATTTTTGAATTCAAAAGATTATATTAAATTCATGTCTTTTTATCTCTCTACACCATAAATTTTTGAATTCAAAATGTGATATTAAATTTATGTATTTTAATTGTTTCAAGCTTTCTATAATTAGAATGTCAAAGTTATTATTTTTTTGGTCAAAACTCTAAAAGGGATTTAACCAACAACCTTTTTATATATAGTTAGATAGATAGATATTTTTCCTCCTCTTTCATTATCTTATCAAAGAACCATTTTCTTCAACTCCTTATAACAAAATCTTTGAAAACAAAGGTAAAATTATTTTACATCATCACGTCTCATTCCCTTCTCTCCCCTCCGTTAAAATATCTTCCCTCATTTTTTCCCCGTTGAACCAAACATACCCTCGATATAAAATTGCAAATAAAGATTGTGCTAGTATCTTCAAGGCTCGCCATTGAAGCATCTAGACACTTCCAGCACACTACTCTCCACATAAAAGCACGCCATCACCAATTCACTATATAAATGAACAACTCTTGAGAATTCCATTCCCAACTGTTTTCAAGTTTCGATTTTGCGCTCGCCAAGGTTTCAATTGCGAACAAGAACTGCCGGAAAAATGAGGTACTCAGGCTTCAGACTTCTTCTCGTTCAAGTTCTTTCCGAAATTGCATAGTGCGAACTATTATAGGTTTCGATATGTCCTGAGTTTGGAATTGTGTGATAGCACTGAGTTTTGTTCTCTCTCTCTCTCTCTCTCTCTCTCTCTCTCTCTCTCTCTCTCTCACACACACACACACACACACACACACACACACACACACACACACACAAACATTTGGGTGTGTTGATCCGATGGTTAAAACCCTTCGTGGGGGCAGACGGTCGGCTAAAATTCACTTCTTTCCAATGAAGAAAGAAACAAGTATAGAACTTTGTGTTTGTCGCTATACTGAAAATCTCAAAAACAGAACTTGGAAGATTGGTAAATTTACAGAACCGTTAACTCCTCTTTACTTATGTCTGAGTTCAATGTAATTTGTGGTCACCTATTGGCTTACGTTTTATATTTTATTGGCTTTGAAGTTCTGTAGAAGAAATTGCACTTTAGTTAGTTGCATTTTAACCTGTCATCATGCTCTGAGTTGAAGAGTTTTACGTTTGCAAGTTCTTGTCGATGTCGGAATTCCTTATGCTCATTTGCCCATGATAATCGTATCTTCAGCCGACATCCAATTGTAAAGTGGGCACAGAGGTCGGACAAACTATTCATTACTGTGGAGCTTCCGGATGCCAAAAACGTGAAGCTCAATCTTGACCCGGAAGGAAAGTTCTTCTTTTCAGGCACAAGTGGTGCGGACAACATACCGTATCAGATAGATATCGATTTGTACGACAAGGTTGATGTCGATGTAAGTATTCGAATCCCAGCCGTGTTTGATTTACTAGGGTGGTGTAGCATTTTGTTACTTTGCAGTAAATGGAAACTGATGATTCCTGTAAGTTGGTAATGTCAGGAAAGCAAGGCTAGTGTTGCGTCTAGAAATATATGCTATCTTGTGAAGAAGGCTGAGAGCAAATGGTGGACCAGGCTTCTAAAGCAGGAGGGGAAACCCCCCGTTTTTCTGAAAGTTGATTGGGACAAATGGGTCGATGAAGACGAACAAGATGGACAGAGTAAGTTATACATTATTAGTTTATTTTGATCTTTTAGTGTGTTTGTGTGTATGGTTGTGTGTTTCTTTTCTTTGCAAAGGTTGGTTGTGTAGGGCTACAGATGAATTGAGTCGAGTCGAGTCGAGCACGAACCTTGTCAAGCGCAGGTTCAACATTTTTTTCGTCACTGCTCGAGCTCAAGCTTGAGCTCGACGAGCCATGTAAAATGGTGTTTGAGCTCGACAAGCATGTAAAATGGTGCTCGATTCGACTCGTGAAAAAAATAAGAATGCTCGAGATTGACTTGATGCTCGACATGACTTTAACAAATAAATTTTAAATGTAAAGATACTATAAGTTTGGCTTTGGTGTTCTTATATTCATAACCAAAACTATATGTGGATATTTATTTAAATAAAAAGTCGAGCGGCTCTTCGAGCTGACGAGCCTATTGAAATGACGCTCGGGGCTTGACGCTCGATTTCGACTCGTTTGCAGCTCTAGTTGTGGGGAAAAGCCCGTGATTGTGATTTTACTATTGATTGTTCGCATTTTGGAGAAATATATTTGTGAAGCTTCTGTATCTGATTTTGGCTACATGCTGATGAAATTTCGCGCTTTCTCTTCTCCAGCTGGTGGTGATATGGACTTTGGCGACTTTGATTTCTCGGTGAGTAGCGATACAGCGGAGATCTGTGTTTCTATAATATAACTACTCGTGTAATGTGTGAATGCATCTATCATTTGGTTGGTTAAATACAGTTTTTAACACATTTCAATTGTTTTCAGAAGCTTAACATGGGAGGAGCTGGGGATTTTGGTGATGACCTTCCAGGTGGTGGTGAAGGTACATTTTCATAATCGCCTGTCAACCTAGCACTTTACGAAAACGTAACATATCGAGTTCTGTCAACTTGGGGGAAAAAAAAGAAACAGAACTAATGATTGAAAAGCTCGATCTTTTGCAGATGATGAGAGTGAAACTGATGACGAGAACAAGGGAGAAGCTAATGTTGGACGGGAAGCAGCACCTGCTTAGAAATCGCGAGTGTAGCTTAAAAGTTCGTCTGTAATGTGTATATGGGACATTGTTGGTTTGCACGAACTTTCTCGTCTGAGTTGTGTTGATGCTGCATTTGTGCAATGAGATTCTGTTGCTAGACGAGGGTCGATTGTTTTCATGGGTGGTCATATTTTTGTGTGAATTTAATTTAATGATATACCAAGCACTAGTGTTGCACTAAGAAATTCATATTTATTTCAAAATAAGATAAAAAAATATAATGTATATTTTCTTCGTCTAAGAGTTTTCAACTATATTTATTTAAGAATTTATAATATAATTTTAAAGAATAATCTTTCTTCACTTAGTTGGTCTTGTAACACAGTGATTTTCTGAATAAGGTTTATATCTCCTGCATTTATATTAAGTTTTTTAACATCATATAATCAGGAATAAATAATTGATAAGGAATTTTATTATATTTTAATTATATTTTTAATTACATATCATAGGTAATTTATGGCTTGTGTATAAATCAGATATACTAAATTTGTATTTATATATGAGTCATTTACTTGTCAAACGAATAGATTTCATTTAACAAAATTGATAAAACTGAAAATAAAATTACACACATTAGAAATTTATTGGGCAACTAGAAAGAAAAAAAAAATCTTAGAAAATGAACCAAAAGAATAAAGTGAAATGAAAATACGAATGTAGACAATGCTTGTTTATAAAACCAATCCAAAAAAATTCAATCATCTTTAACTCAACTACTTTTTTTAACTCAACTTTAACTCAACCCACTAACATCAATATAATTAAATAATATCAATCAATCAACCCACTATCATCAATATTATCAATATAATTAAATAATATCAACCAGTCATTCTTACACACAACATCAACCTTAATTTACTATTCATCTACTCACATAATTTTAACTAACCATCACATCACATCTTCTCTCTCCTACTTTTACATCAATTTAATTTTAATCATTTTATTTTAAAAAATATTTTAATATACCCACTAACAATTAACCATACCAACTTTTTCAAATTTAACCAACCCAAACCAAAAACCCAATCAAAACTAAAAAATTTTATAACATTGAAACCAGTGTTCGCCTAAACGGCCGTTTAGGCCGTTTACACGCTGTTTAAACGGTAAACGGAGCTATGGTGTGCAGTTTAGCGAATAAACGGTAATTAAACGGGCTAGCCGTGTAGACGGAAAAAAACCGTGTAAAGTATGTAAACGGAACGGTATTAGACGGATTTAAACGCCCTAAACGGCCGTTTAGGCCGTTTACACGGTTCGTTTTGGAAATAAAAGCGGTTGGGCGGGAGAACGAAAAATTGATCCGTTTTGTGAGAACTATATATGCGTGCAGTGTGTTACTAACTGTTGTGTTGTAAGATGAACACCTGTGATGTTGACTGTTGTGATGTTATCTGCAATTTGCGTATGGGCTATGGCTATGTCATTGACTCATAAGTCATAATATTAATACTAATGGAGTTAAAAACGTGTAATCCGTTTAATCCCGTCTACACGCCGTCTACACCGTCTAAATACTACACCTGCCCTTGCCGACTGTTTACCGTTTAGCGTTTAGGCTAACACTGATTGAAACATTAAGCAACGATTTATTTTATAATTTATTTTAGAAAGAACTACACTTTAAAATAATTACATTTAACTACTTTCGGCGATCGGAGGGGAAATTAGGGACAAACACGACTTTTCATGTATTAATTTTGAAAAAAGTTATCCATGTACATACATTAATGCTCCCCTACCTACAGTAGACACATATTAATATGTTCACCGCTCAAACACACATTGATGATGTAAATATGTTAAAAAAAAATACATCACCATTGTGTGCATGTCACATAAGCGGTGGACATATTAACCTGTGTCCACCGTGGGTAGAGGAACATTACTGCACGTACATATATCAAACCTTTTACGGCTCTTATATACCTCATTCATGAAGAAGGAGAAGAAAATTCCCAAGTTAAAATTTTAGGTTACGACGCGAGGGTAGATAAGGAAATTTCCCGTAGAATTAGCCTTACGTCGAAAAAAAAAAAAAAAAGAGGAACATATTTGGAAGCAAGCTTAGGGGGTCATATTGGATGAGTATTGCGGTTGCGAAAAGAGGATTTGATGGTCACGTCTGACGGATAACAATCTGAGAATGCGATATGCAACGTGCAAGGGAAGCAAATTAGGACGGATAAATCGATTGAACACTATTTCAATTTTTTATTTTTGGAAACCCAAATGGAGTGGCTGCTGGATGGTGCATTGATTTGATATGTTCAAGAATTTTTTCGAATATTTTGTGCAGCTCGACCTCAAATGTGTACAAGAGCTCGACAAATCATACCTGGACTTTTGAGACACATTAATGTGGTTAAAGTTGAATTGACCATCACGAAAAATATGGTGAAGTTGATGCCGTGTGATATTGTTATTTTATGGATGATCATGTTTTCCCTTCTTAAGAAGTAGGCATATTTCATAGATTTGGTTATGTAGGGTGTTAGATTTTTTTGTCTTTATGTAGTGATTGTGGTGTGATTGTGTTGCGTTCTTGGCATAGATTTGTGAAGTAGGCAGTGATTTAGTGTTATCTTGGCATTGAATTAGGAAGTGGTTGGGGTTGAATTTTGGTAGTGTAAGACTCTTTCAAGCGGTTTTGTTGTAAGGTATGTAAGGCTTCTTCAAATGGTTTGTGTAATGATTGTGCCGGATTTATTTGAAAAACTTGCATAAATTTCTGAGAACTTCGTTCGCCATATATTTTCAAACTTTTACTAATTGTAAAAGTAGGATTCTTTTTTAATCATGATCCTCATACAAAATAACTATTCTATGTTCATCCTTCATGAAATACATTTGCATGACTTCATTATCCTTTTCCAACTAGAATAAGACATCGCAGTCATTAACACCCCCCTCGCCCCAACTGCAATATATATAATTTATCTATCATACTTATTACATCAATCAAGGACATTTCATAAGGATAACAAACATCAACATGCGAGACATCACCATTTAAGTACTTCTTGCGGCCTAATTCCACAAATTGTCTACAATAATAAACCCTAATAATGAAATATTCATTATTTGCATCTACAAGACACATAACCAATGTATAATCTAATGGTAAATCCTAAAATTACATAACCACGCACTGAAAAAAAAAATACAAAAAGCTTACCATAATTTGGGGCATCCATATCATCATTCTCGCGTAATTTCCAAACCATGCTTGCGAATTTATGGAAAATACAACTCCAATTTGGGATTTTGAGAAGTGTATTACGAATGGTTCTTTCAATATAGGGTTCTAATAGGGTTTCAATTTAGGATTTTCCTATTTCAAAGTGAATGAATACCTGAAATGTCATTTTTGCAGGTAAAATTGTCCCCCCGATAAATGGAAGTCGTTAAGTGTAATTATATTTGAAGTTCGGTGAGAAAACTGTCACACAAAGATGAGTGGGCAAAGTGCAAAAAGATGGATAGTTTGGTAGACAAAGTGTAGTTTTCCCAAATAACAATAGTACACCATAAAAATTTCACCCTTTTTTATGCTTGCCAATTCAACTTCAACTATATTAATGCGTCTCAAACGTTCAGGTATGGTTTGTCGAGCCCTTGTACACCTTGGAGGGCTGGTCTACACAAAATATTTGCAATCATTCTTGAACACATCAAATCAATGCACCATCAAATCAATCCCAACAGCCACTCCGGTTAGATTTCCAAAAAAAAAAAAGAATTGAAATAGTATTCAATCAACTTACCCATCCTAATTTGCCTCCATTGCACGTTGCATATTGGCTTCCTGAATTATTGCTCGTCTAAGTCTAAGACATGACCATCATAGTTCTCTTTTCGTAATTGCAATACTCATCCAATGTTACCTCTGAAGTTTGCTTCTACATATTTTTCTCTTTTCCTTCGGCGTAAGACTAATTCTACCGACAATTTCCTTCTTTACCCTCTCGCTCTAAACCTAAAATTTTAGGAAAATGGTACATAGCAAACCTAGTGTACAACTAGGTTGACAACACAAGTAGAAACATCCATTTATGTGTTTTTTTTATTTTTATTTTTGTGGATGTTTTCACTTATGTTGTCAACCTAGTTGTACACTAGTTGACAATGTAGCATTTCTTATAATTTTAATATGGGAATTTTTCTTCTTCTTCCTCATGATGAGGTATATATTAGGCGTAAGAGGTTTGGTATATGTACTATGACAACTTTGTCCAAAATAATATCGGAAAGGTCGTTTTTCCTGGAAATTAAAGTCACGAAAAGCAAGAGTAAGAGCATCAATTCGTTCGTCAGTTGCCAGTTCAAGCCGAGAAATATCATAAGTAAAGCACTGTCCCCCTGAAATTGCTCTTCCGATGATAGAAAGTTGTTACGTGTAATTATTTTAGAAGTTCGACGGGCAAACTTCACATAAAAAAAAAAAAGAAAATGAGTCGGCAAAGTGCAAAAATGCGGAGAGTTGGTAAACAAATTGTAATTTTTTCTAAATTAAAATAGTGAATCGCTATTTACCGTCCCCTTTTACTAGTCACCGCCCCCTATTACGTTTTTGCCCTTCACACTCTCTCTCTACTCTCTCTCTCTCTACTTTTTTTCCTTTCGATTTTCTACGGCTCTTTTAACCGTAAAAAAAATTTCAAAAAAATACCAAAAAAATACCATGACATCGGTAAGACATTGACGATTGACTATGTATTTTTTTTATTTTTTTACTTTGTAAATAATTTTTAATTTTTTTTCGCGT